AGGTCAGAGCAGGGAGTCTGGGTAGGTAAGAACAGAGAGTGTCTGCATAGGTGAGAGCAAAGTCTGTGAGTGTCTGCATAGGTGAGCAGGGAGAGAATGTCTGCATAGGTGAGAACAGGGAATGTCTGGATAGGTGAGAGCAGGGAATGTGTGTGTGTCTGCATAGGTGAGAGCAGGAAACGTCTGCATAGGTGAGAACTGAGAGTGTCTGTGAGTGCCTGCACAGGTGAGCAGAGCATGTCTGCATAGGTGAAAGCTGGGAGCGTGTGTGTCTGCATAGGTGAGAGCAGGGAATGTCTGCATAGGTGAGAGCTCAGAGTGTGTGAGTCTGCACAGGTGAGCAGGGAGAGTGTCTGTGTAGATGAGCATGGAGAATGTTTGTGTAGGTGAGCACAGAGAGTGTCTGTGAGTGTCTCATTAGGTGAGCATGGAGAGTGTCTGCATAGGTGAGCACAGGAAATGTCTGCATAGGTGAGCACAGAGTGTCTGTATAGGTGAGCACAGCCCCAGCCGAGTCCTCACTCTGTGAATGGGCCTCTTTGAGCCCCTCTCTGGAGGGTGTGGGGCCCACCTGCATGCTCCGCAAGGATAGCAGCTGCTACAGTCTCTGCAGCCTGCCAAGGCATCTCTTCCCTGAAAACAAAGCCTAAAAATTAGAATCACAGTTTGGGTTGAAAAATCCTAATTCCGCCCCCTGCCATGGGCAGGGACACCTTCCACTAGATGAGGCTGCTCCAAGCCCCATCCAACCTGGCCTTGGACTTTTCCAGGGATCCAGGGGCAGCCACTGCTTCTCTGGGCACCCTGTGCCTCACAGTAAAAAGCCTTTCTGACTGAATTCAGATGCTTTGCTCAGCCAGGAAGGGCTCAGCTCCAAAGAGGGCTGGCCTTTGCACCTGTGGCTGTTTGCACTGTTGGGACCTTTTAGGTCAATGTGTCCTCCCAGCCCCTTGGTCTCTAAGCTCTCCTCCACAGCACATCTCCAGACCTCCCCAAAGCCCCCAACCCCTCCCTTATGGAACCCCAGGCAGGACAGGCTCTGACCTCCCTGTCTTTGGCCAGAATGTAACTGCAACCAGATCGGCTCCATGCACGACCGCTGCAACGAGACCGGCTACTGTGAGTGCAGGGAAGGCGCCACGGGGCCCAAGTGTGACGACTGCCTGCCCAACTACTACTGGAGACAGGGCTGCTTCCGTGAGTACCCCCCTGCAGGGCCAGCCAGCTCAGAGGGGCCTCCAAACAGCAGCAGCACCTCCAGCACTGCTGGCTTGGGTGCCTTGTGATGCTCCGGGTGCAGGGGGAGCAGGTTCCGGCCATTCTTCCCAAATCCAAAATTAATTTATAGCTTTGGCCATGGAAAAGCTATAGCTTTATAGCTATATAAAGTTATATAGATATATAGCTTTATAGCTTTGCACCCCTCCACTGCATTCTGCTGGCCTTGGGACTGCTCTAGTCTTGTATTTTTGGGGTTCCCAGACGAGCTCAGATGAAGGAAGGAAGGATGAATCTGACTCCATGTTCTTAGAAGGCTAATTTATTATTTTATTATCCATACTATATTGAAGAATACTATATTAAAACTATACTAAAGGATACAGATAGAAGGCCTAAATCTGTTCTTAGAAAGCTAATTTATTATTTGATGATCTTTATTATATTAAGAAATACTATACTAAAACCATACTAAACTAAACTAAAGGACACAGACAGAAGGCTAAAAGATACTACTGAAAAACTCATGACTCTCTCCAGAGCCTCGACACAGCTGGCTGTGATTGGCCAATAAGTAAAAACAATTCACATGAAACCAATGAAACAATCACCTGTTGGTAAACAATGTCCAAACACATTCCAAAGCAGCAAAACACAGGAGAAGCCAATCAAATAATTCCTGTTTTCATTTTTCTCTGAGGCTTCTCAGCTTCCCAGGAGAGAAATCCTGGACAAGGGGATATTTCAGAAAATATGATGGTGACACTAGCGCTGGGAGGGCTGGATGATTTAACCCTTAGGAGCAAAAATCTAATTTCTAGAGCAGCCAAGGGGTTTAACCCTATAGGGTAATGCCTGCACCTCTCCCTCTCACCCTGCAGTGGGATAATTTAACCCCTAGGAGCTAAAATCTGAATCCTGCAGCAGCCAAGGGGTTTAACCCTGCAGAGTAACTCTGGCTTCTCTCCCTCTCATCCCGTAATTTAACCCCTAGGAGCTAGAATCTGAATCCTGCAGCAGCCAAGGGGTTTAACCCTGCAGGGTAACCTCTGCATCTTTCACCCTGCAGTGGGATAATTTAACCCCTAGGAGTTAAAATCTGATTCCTGCAGCAGCCAAGGGGTTTAACCCCGCAGGATAACCCCTCTGCCTGTCCCCCTGCAGCCAACGTGTGCGATGACGAGCTCCTGCTCTGCCAGAACGGCGGCACCTGCTACCAGAACCAGCGCTGCATCTGCCCCGTGGGCTTCAAGGGCGTGCTGTGCCAGCAGTCCCGCTGCGAGGCGGACAAGCAGGACTGTGACGGTGCCCCCGGTGCCCGCGGCAGCCCGGCCGCCCTGGCGCTGGCCATGCTCGCCCTGCAGCTGCCAGGCTGGGTGGATCTCTGAGGCTGCGCGGCGAGCCCAGCCCGGGGGCCTGGCGACACCGAGGGGACGGGTGGCCGTCCCCAGCGCCTCCTCCTCCGCCTTCCTTCACGCTAGGACTTGCACAACGTCTTTGGGGCCACTTTCCAAGCAGAGAGGTACGCAGGGAGCCCGGCGCTGGGTGCTGCCAAACCGGGGGTCCGTGCCCGGTGGGGACACGGGGACAGCAGCAGCGACATTCTGTGTGGGACATGGGGACAGCAGCAGCATTCTGTGTGGGACACAGGGACAGCGATATTCTGTGTGGGACACGGCCTGTCTGCCCTCCTGGCACAGGGACCTGTCCTGCTCCGCACAGGGCGGCCCAGGGTTCCAGAACAGTGCCGCGATCCGAGGGATGGTTTTTTTAATTCTTACTTTCTTTACTTTGGTATAGGCCGGGGTGGTGTTTTCATTTTCCCTCCTCTCAGCGTCCTGGTTTGGGAGAGCCTGTGGTGCCAAGAGCGGAGCCCCAGCACGCAGGGGACAGGAGGGAGGGGAGAGGGGACTCCGGTCCATCCCTGCTGCAAATCCCACACCCCACCACGGGCCCGGCCTGGCCACGCACATGCTGTTGCCTACGACTGTAGTTGCTGCATTGATTTTGTATTTTCATGGCTGGGTTTTGTTTTCTTGCACTGATGGAGAACACAGGGGCCGTGAGGCGTTCGGAGCGTGAGGAGTGCAGTGTCTTATCCACACATGTCCGTATGGTGTACGGGTCAAATTCTTCTTTTGGTAGAGACTTATTTTTGTTTGGATTAAATGTTATAACAGAACCACGACCTAAAGGGACATTTTATCATGAGCATTTGATTCTGGTGTATCCTCCTCCAGTAAAGCAACTATTAATGGCTGCTTGATCACCACGTTTTCCTTTTTGTGTGCACAGTTAATTACAGGTAAAGACTTATTTTTGGATTCATAATGTCCTCTTGTGTTTTCTGAGTCACTACCAAGGTGCACCACATGGTGAGGGAGAGGGGAGGGAGAGAGAGGTTGCCTCATCACTGAGAGCTGTTAATTATTTCTCCTAATTACTTTGCTGAGCCTAGGTTAGACTACTAACTGTAGACAATGAGCAAAGCCTGAGTGATATATTAAGCACTGGTCTTGTGTGAAAAGGCCATTTCCAAATGAGCCTGCAGCAGGAAAAGGCTGGCCAGGGCAGGAATGCTTCTCCATGGGGACCTCAGCTGTCCCAACCCCACTGCAGCCCCCTCCAGCTGGTGCCATCATGCACCTCTGCAGAAAATGCTGTATTCTAAAGCAACCACAGCCAGTATTTTTAAGCAGCAATATAGAGCTCACAGGGATTATATTAACTCATTAAGGCTCATCAACATGCTCCTGTCTGAGGAGGCATTTACAGCCAAGCACATAAATGAAGGCAGGAGAAACCAGAGACAAGAAAAGAAGTAACTCAGTCAGCTCAATGGGAATGTCATAAACACAGGAGCCCTTGTGTGGTCATATTTGGATATTTACCATGCCAGGAGATGATTGAGTGCAGGTTTAGAGGATGGGGACACCCCCAAGTCCAGTTTGTTCAGTTCTAGGCTGGTTTCTTTGTCAGGTGAGCTTTGGAAAAGGAGAGAAAACCCAGAGTGAAGGTGCAGGATGGATATTGTCACTTCAAAGAGCAACACACATTCAAAGCAGCATTTAACATCACAGAGGCAGAGCACAGGGCTTAGTTAATCCACTATAAAGTACAAGAGGGTTCAACTCACCCTGATTTGCTCCTTGGGGCAGAGGGCTGGCCCCAGCATTGCCTCCCTGGCTTCAGCACAGTTGGTTGCTCTCTGTTGGACTCTCACTCTTTTCTTTGTGCTTTCTGACTGCAGCAGACCTTAAACATGTTACAGCTCTCACAAGTAACAGCAAAGGCTGTAACAAGATCAAGATCTCTAATGGCACTTCTGGAGGGTGAAGCAACATTCTCCTTTGCCTGCAAGACTGTTTTTCTCTAGAATATTAGATTAAGCAACAGAAAATTTACTACTTCATAAAGCCAGGCAAACTCTGCACCAGCAGATTCCCTGCAAACACACACTTTTATGGCAGGAACGTGCCAAGCAAAAGCACCAAACTCCTGTAGAAAATAACCTCAGAAAGGCACAGCAAAGCTCAGACCAGTCCAGGAATGAAGGCTGCTGAAAACTACACTTCACCTTTCTGGGTTTGGGGCTTTGCTCTTGGTTGTTTGGGTATTGGCTGTTTGGCTTTGGGGTTTTAGAGTCACACGTGCTGTAGAACTTGGAATCACACAATGCAAGGCAGAAGAGAAAATCTCTCACACAAAACTCACACTTAGTGCTCAAGAAAACAATTTAAAGCTTCTGAGATCTTCAGCACTGAGGACCCATTAACTGCAGCATCTGTTACAGGGTGTCTGCACAAAGAGAACAGAGCATCATTGAAACAACACAGAGAAACCATCACTGCAAGTACCCACAGATCCCAAAGTTCATCTCCAAGGCAGAAGTTTTGTACATCAGTTATTGCTTCCAGATGGGAGAAGTTGTCCAATGAGCTTGATACTTGTGGAAAGGTTACCAAAAGGTACTTCTCCTTCTGAGAAAAGCCACTTATGCTCTTTCAAGAGGTTCCATGTGCATCCTGGCACCAGCATTTGATTGGTTTGGAAAAGTTTTTAAATTACACTTCTGCCTGCAAAGAGTGACCTCTCCAAACAGCATAAGTAGAACGTTTGATTTTTCTTGTTTACTTCAAATTCTACTCTGATTTTAACTATTCAGAGTTCTGATAAATCCAAACAACCAAAAGCCCCAAGGCAACAAAAACCTTCCTGATGCACATTTGCTCACTTGCCAGGTAAAATGTTAAAGCTACAGTTCCTGGGAGCTGGAGACAGGAGGGGGGAAAAGAATTCCATTGCCAGTTCCCAGGTATGTTATTTGTTTTTTTTTAAGATGAGGCAGCAGACATCTCATCTGCAAGTGATTCGTGAGGAGCCCTGCAGAGGCTGGAGAGCGAGAGAACCAACACTTTTTAATGGGAATAAAATGGTCTCACTGCCCTGTTCTGCTCTGTAATTTGCTTTCATGAGAAGCCTCAAATGTAAATAAAACAAAGTATAAAGGAAGAGCTGAATGTTGTTGCTCAGAAATAAGAGCAGAGCTGGGTTTTGGAGAGCTTTATATTCACATCTTCTCAGCCCTTCTGGCTGGGAGCTGGAGAGTTTGGCCACGATCACACAGAAAATGGCTAAAAAATCCCATCCTGATTTGAGATGCAGAGAAAAGCTTCAGACCCTCCTGAAGGCTCCTTTGGCTTTTTGATTCTCAAGGTGTTCTAACAACTTTCACTGCAGGGTGAAACGTGTGAGGAAAGCCTAAACCCACCCATTTTCACCACATAACTGCCAGCAACAATAAGCAGGGTCCAAAAGCTCCATCCTGACCCCACTCTGTGTCACTGCAGGGGTTAAAATAGAGGGGAAAACGATGGGATTTCTCATCCTGACCACACTCTGTGGTTTAACACTGCAGGGGTTAAAACAGAGGGGAAACTGATGGGATTTCTCTGTAGCAAAGGGAGTTCTTGCTTCATGGCACAGTGAAATCAGTGGCAATGCTGCACAGCTGCACCAGGCTATAAAATCAGGTTTTCTGTGTTTTCCCAGTACCAGATGTAATGTGCTCTCAGACCACTTTCATTTCTATCATGCTTTTCCTGGGAGTTGGTGGCAAATTAGCCAAGGGCTGAGCAGCAGACAGGTACATATGGCCAGGAGGTCTCATGGCAGTGATATTCAATGTACAAGGCTGCTTAGCTTACATTTATTTGCACTAAAGAATAAGGCACTGGGCTCCTTTCCAAGCAGCTTAAAAAGACAAGAAAAGAGACCCGTTGTGGCAAGAGACTGTATTATATCATTACCATTATAAATTCCATTTACAATCCAGCAGTCATTTCATCCATCATTTATTCATGCACAATGGAGAGAGCATCTTGCAGCTTTAGGACCATGGTTCTGCTCATCCATGGGGCTGCTGTGAATGAACAGCCCAGCTCCAGTTTTGGGAGCCTTCTCTCCACACTTCAGAGATTGCCAAAAAGCAAAAGCCAGCTCTGGAATTACTGGAGTTCCATGTTATTTTTCAGGTGTTGTCTGGGAATGTTGTTTAGCCCCAGTTGATGCAGTAACAAATGCTGTGTTGCTCTGGGAGCCCAGGCTGCTCTGTGCTTGTCCCCACGAGTGTGGCAGGGTGAGGGCTATTCCCATTCCATGGATTAGCAGAAGTGCCTTGCCAGCCTGCACCCCTCATTAAACCCCTTTGCTAATTAGGATTGCAAGGACTCAGGGTCTCACCAGCACTGGGAATGTGAGTGGAGACTGGCAGGAGGGAGAGGCTGATGTCCCTCCTGTCCCCACAGAGCCTGGCACAGTCCAGGGGCACCTCCAGCTCTCAGCACCCCTTGTCCCACCCAGCAAGGAGCCAACAGCTCCCTCCTGCACTCCCAGAGCAGAGAATGAATTGATAAATAAACAGAAGTGCCCCACACAGAGCCCAGAGCAGCACAGTGACCCAGAGCCAAGGAACACAGACCAGACAAGCACCTGCCATGCCCTCACATCGCCATGATTGGCAGCAACAACATGGAAAATAACTACAGCAAACCTTAAAGGGAAAAGGAACAACCAGTTATATCCCACCTTTGCTGCAAAGCCTGTTTTGTGTACAAAGAATAAATTAATGAAACTTCCACACTCTGAAAACTCTGAACAAAACATGGTCCAGCTCTTACAAGAGACTTTCCCTCCCTCCCAAGAACAGAGAGGACTGGCTTTGCACTGAGAATTCAGCTCCAGCCTTGGAAGCAGCATGGAAGCCTCTCTAAAAACCTGATACTGCTTCTTCCAAGCACAGCCTCCAATAAAGTGTTTTACTAAAGTTGTGTTGAGTACATTTCTTTACGGACTTTTCCAACTTTAGCACTCAGTAACCACCAACAACTCCAAGGGCCACCAGCTCTGAGGAGTTATAAATGACCACTGCAAGTCTCTGCTCACAGCTTACACACTGAGTGCCCATCACTACTCAGTGCTTTGTACCACACAGAGAATTTATGAAAATTGTGCCTGGTCTGTTTGTTCCTCACTGGAGATTTGAGCCAGTGAGAAGTGTGCTTTGGATTGCATTTTGCTCAGTTTTCCAGGTATAAACAAGAGGAGAAGCTAAAGCTACAAACCTACTGAGTGGTTTGTGAAGAGGGAAAAGTGTCTAAGTGCAATAACCCAAGCATGTTTTTATTGACAAATAAAGGACTAATGACACAGACTGACATGGCAGCAATAATCTACTGCTGAAGACTGACAATTTAAGTCAGATAAATCTAGTATTAAACCAGCAAAAAGGTCTGGGCCACTGAATATACCTCAAAGATGATTTATGGATAAACACAGGCATTATAGAATATAACTAAAATAAAATGTTAAAACAAAATTCCTTCCAGCACGTGCCAAGCACTGCTCTCAGAACACGTTCTGAAATGCAAGGTAAGGAAGGAAACTAGAAGAAAAGTTTCACAGCAACATTCTAGTCACCAAATTGCTTTTAATAACCAGAAAAGCATTTCCTCGTTCATTTTGTTGCCAGCTTCACTTTATTTACATCAAGACAGTCCAAATGGCTTCCACAGCCATGGGGTTTGCAGAGCAGCAGCCTCTTAATGTGCTAAGTACAAACAGCAGGCAGGGCAGCACAGCCCTGCCAACGAGAGCCAAGGGGCTTGGAAGATGACAGTTTTTAAATATTCCTATTAACATAAAGGGGAAAAACACACAGGTATGGAGTGTGTGATGGGGAGTGACTGAAATGCCCAGTTTGTTAAGGTCAGAGGCACTCAGCAGCTGGAGAAGGGCACACAGGGCTGCCAGGAGGAGTCAGGGTCACTGAAGGATTCAGAATGCAACACCACAAATAACTAAAGCTGGACAATGCACAGATGCTGACCTCACCTCACAGGGATCTCCCAGATTCTCCCCATTGCACTGAAACCCTCAGTCCTGCACAGCACAAGGAGCTGGCCAGGCCCAGGCAGCAATCAAAGCCTCCCCACACACCTCCAAGGCAGCTCCTACCAGTAAAGGATGCTTGTTCTGGGTGTGGATGCATTAGGGATGAGTTTTCCTGGCAATCACAGCCTGGCCCAGCTCCTGGTGCTGGGCACAGCAAGGCACTGGTGTTTCCCTGAGCTGGGCCCTGCCTGGCAGAAGGTCAAAGCACAAAGCTGGAATTATCCCTGCAATAACAAAAATGGAACTGAAGATGATGCCTAAAAACTGTGGCTCACTTGCTGCAGCACAGCCACTGCCACGCTGCTGTGACAAGGGACAGCAGGACAGGCCCTGCTCAGTGGAGATGGCACAGCTGGCACCAACCCTGCACCCTCAGGTTATCTCCACACAAAGCTCAGTGCATGTGAAATGCTGCCCTTCACCTCCTGAGACACACACAAGCTCCAGCAAACAGACACTGATACTTCACAGCGACCCAAAGGAATTCTTAGCAGAAATAATTCCAGTTTTATTGTGAAATGTTATGATGTGAGGAAGGTTTTCTTAAAAATAATTTGGTTTTTTCGCCATCCTCCTTTAATGGCTGCATGTTCTTCATGAGCACAGTGGAAAGAATCCAGCAGTAACACCTAGAAAGATCTACCTGCCCTTTTCATCCCTGTCATCTCCAAAATTTCATACATAGAAACTCAAGTGATATTACCAATAGCTGTTAATAGAACTTGGACCAAGATTCCACAGTGCTGTTGATCCCTGCTCACAGGACACAGTGGGACCAAAGAGACCACCCAGGTTTCAATCTGCAGATTGTGTTGCCCCTGCAACAAGTGAGGGATTCCAACTGATAGAGCAGCAGCAAGAGCAAAACTCAAGGCACGTTTGTATAAACAAAAACTCTTTTCTTCCTATAAAAACAGGCAATAAAATATACAAAATAAGTAGAATTCTCTCTTTTCAACCAACGTACATCTGCCTCACTCTTCCCTGAGGCAGTAGTGGAGCACTAGCAAGAGCCATTGGTATCACATTTTCAACACTCAGATTTGCTATGAAATAAATTAGACATATTAGTGCAAAGGGAAAAGAAGTCTGTCCTTTGGATTTTGGGGTTGTTGGGTTTTGTTTTTGCTTTACTCTGGTTCTTCATAAAAAAATTACATCTCTAAGAAATTAGCATTTACACAAAAAACCATGAAGCTATGTATTTGCCAAATATCTTAAAATAATTCTGTATACTGTACAAATATACACTGTTAAACATTTACAACCTCAGCTTCCTAGATGACTCAACCCACTGCTCTTCCAAGCAATGCAGCTACCCAACTTCCCTTTTCAAAACCTCTAAGGTACCATCTGTCAGGTATTAAATCCCTTCACAATTAGGGACAGGATGGGAAGGAGATCCTCTGATAGTAGTGGTATCAATAGATGGGAGCTCCAGCTGCGTTAAATAATTTAAAACACAGTCCTTGCTAGACAGAAATCTGGGAATAGATTTCCAGTGATGAGCCCACAGTGAAGTCAGTGAAAGAACTTTCTTCTCTTGGCAGAGCTTGATTCTGAGCTCTCTGGTGATTCCTGGGATGGTCTCCTGCACACACCACGAGAGTCTTTGTTCCACTCACTGCCACTGCTCTGAGCTCCCTCCCTGGGGGCTCTGGAAGCGCTTTTGGACACGGCTGCTCTCTGGTCACCCTCGTGCTGGCCCGAGGGAGGGGCTGGGGGCAGCACACTGCCCTGTCCTGCTGCCTGCTGGGCCCTCCTGGCACTTTCTGTTCTGCACACCCAATCCCTGGCAGCTGGGGACACGTGCAGGCCTTGCTGTGCTGCAGATCCTGGCGTGCTCTGGGCTGACCTCAAGGGCTGCTCCTTCCCTTTGCCTTCAGCTCGAGTGGCCAGGCTGGCCAGCCTGGGGTCCCGGGGCTTCTCTGGGATGGCACCAAGTGCTGCAGCCCCCGAGGGTGCAGGGACACTGCTGCTCCTCTTGGGATCTGCAGATGAGGTCCCTGAGGGTGCAGGGGCACTGCTCCTCCTGGAATCTGCAGCTGGAACCCCCGAGGGTGCAGGGACACTGCTGCTCCTCTTGGGATCTGCAGATGGGGTCCCCAAAGGTGCAGGGGCACTGCTCCTCCTGCAATCTGCAGCTCCAGCCCCAACAGATGCAGGGGTACTGCTCCTCCTGGAATCTGCTGCTGGAGCCCCCACGGCTGCAGGGGCACTGACCCTCCTGGAATCTGTTGCTGCAGGGGCACTGACACTCCTGGGAACTGCAGCTGGAGCCCCAAGAGATGCAGGGGCACTGCCCCTGTTGGAATCTGCAGCCCCTGCAGGCTGTGTGGGCCCTCGGCTTCCTTGGGGCACAGCATGGCCAGGGCCAGCAGCAAGTTCTCGTGGGCTGCTCCCAGAATTTCCAGGCTCACTCCTCTTGCCACTGGAAGAAGCAGCCTGCACCACAGGAGATGTCACAGTCCCTCCTTTGGCTGGGGGTTGTCCTGGTGGCCTGAGCTTCAAAATCCTGAGAGCTTCTTTCTTGTAATTTTTTTCTGTTGTTCTAATAATGGCGCCTCTTTTCTGAGCATCCTGAATCAAGTGATTCCAGTTTTCATCTCCCTTTAAAAAAAAAAAGAAAAACAAAAAAAAACCCTGTTACCAGCAAGAAATCAACACAAATGGACAGAGGTGTCAGAGGATGTAGAACCTCTTTAATCAAGGTACCTGACACAACTGTCATGGAAACCATTGCTATGTTCCTTCTGGAATGGAAGAATCTTATGTTTCACGTGCAAAACAGCAACAGACACTCTGGCTGCTGTAACACAGGGAAGGCACTTTGAGCCATCAGAACTTCCAAAAATGACAAAATTTCTCAATTTCTCAGTGTCCAGGGGTTCCCCTCGGAGGCGCGGGGCTTTAGCGCCCCCCAGTGGCGAACTAACACAAACCCCCTCCCTCGCTCGGGAAAGCACAAACCCCAAAAACCCTGCAGGACACAAAATTCACTTTCTTGCACAGACTGAGGGCAGTCTGAGGGTGCTGCTGGGTGCCCCAGCCCAGGGGGGGCTCCCAGAGCCCTCTCCATCCCCACTGCACCTACCATGAGCGTCTGCAGCCGGCCCAGGATGAAGAGGCTGAAGCGGGCTCGGGTGATGGTGACATTCAGGCGCTGGAGGCTGGCCAGGAACCTGAGTGACAAGACAAAAACTAAGCTCCTCAACTGCTTCTTCCACAAGAAGGTTTAAAGGGTTAGGAGAAAAGGACATAAAATGAAATGTCACTGAAATTAACAGCAGCAGTTCCTGCCCAGACCCTGCAGCAGCAGCCCTGCCTTACGTGAAAGGCTGAGCATAAATTGTGTTTTCTTTCTTTCACCACTGATTCCTTGCAGGGAATTCCAGTTCTTTCCAGCTCTTGTCGTTGCTGTTTCCTTTCTTAGAGTAAATCCCCTCTTAATGCCAACCACTGCTCCTTAAACGTTCCTCAAAGTACTGAGGACATCAACCTCACTTCACCTATCAAGACTTTAAGCTTCTTTTTGACTCCAACTGAAATAGATTAATAATATTTGGCACTATTAATGGGAAAACACCCTACTGAAATACTGAACACTGCACATGAATATTTTATTTTAAAGGTGACCTGCACTGGAAGCACATCAAGGCAGACTTTTGCTTTGTCATGCTTCAAGAAGGGAGAGTTTATCCTTGCAGAAATCTGGTTTTGCACTAGAAAAATTGCCTGGTTTGATTTTCAGATAACAATCCACAGAACTGAAACCTAAATAAATGCTGAATGTATCCTCAGAAGTTGATTTCTGTCAGCATTCATTTACCAGGACTCAAAAAAAAGGTTTGTGAGACTAATACCAACTATTTCTTCTCTAATGAAAAATCTTCCACACAGCTTATTCTTTACTACCAAAATCCACAATTCAAAAGTCCAACCTAATTTGAGCAGGTTCACTGTCAATGCCTGACTCTGTGGTCACTGAGACCTCATCTGCAGCAAATTCACAACCCTGCAGTGAAGACTGCAAAAACCACAGAGCCACCTCCAAAAATTTTGGACAGTGCAGGAAATAAGAGAAGCAGAGTGGATCCAGCAGCACAGACAGAGTTCTCTAGGACTTGAGAAATGAAAAAGGGGAGAACTTGAAAGTCTACTAAATATTCCTGACAGCTTTTACAACTGAAAGACAAGAAGGTTATTTTCCCAGGAAGGAGGGAGGGAAAAAAATCCATTGTTATTCCTTGGAGTTTTCTTCTCCCAGTTACTTTCAGAGTAAATTTAATGCTGGACTAGCAAACCTGGAGAGCAAAATCCTTCACTCAGGCTACAAGATCATAGTAAGGGTGTGACAAAAATCCCATCACACCTTGCCAAGGGCACCTGACCCTGAAACAGAGATGTCCAAGCCAACAGCAGGTACAGCTGCTAAGGCACTGCACTGGCATAGCTTGAATATATAAACTTTTATATATTAATGTGTGAACACAGTGAGCTGGAAAGTTCCTGCTGAAAGAGCAGACAGAGGTTAAATCTCATGTCAGCAAAAAGAACTGGCAGGTTCCAGCTGCCTCCCATTCCCAAACTCAATCAATCAGATTAAGAAGTCTTCAAAAGGCATTATTGTTGTTTACCATAAGATTTGGATTCCTTCTCTTCCCAAAGTGGATCAGCACAATTAAAAGTCATTTTTCTTGCAGAGAATGAGCATCAGAGAAATATAAGCAGCTTAGTGAAACTTGTGTGTAGAAAGAAAGATTTTTGTTTATGTGACCAGATTTTTCCTAGTTTAACTTAGAAGGCAGTGAACCCTAAGAAGGCATATTTCATATTTTCACTACCATTTTTTAAACTAAAATGATCCACAAGTTACAGAAATCAGCAACTGCTCTAAGTGCTCTGGGGGTAAACAGCACATTCAGATTAGTTCCTTTTGTTTCAGACAGAAAAACCCATAAAATGAAGAAATGTGCAATCCTGAGTTAAGACTTGCTGCTAATCTGCCCCTATAGTAGAAGACAAGCACACTCATCTACAAATCTCAGACCCAAGTCTGCTACACCACATTCCAAGTGACATATAAACTAATTAACAGGAATTTTACAGACATGAGCAGGAGAATGGGTTTCACTTTGAGAACAGCATGCAGGAAGTTACAAGGTGTACCAAAAGCCCCAAGAACAATAACTGCTGCAGTAATAATGCAAAGAGCCAAGATCCCAAGGCCAACCCTGCCAAATGCAGGCAGTGGCAGGAGAAGGGAGCTGTGCAAAGGGATCAGCACATAATGCAGAGCACAGCACCAGCATTTTCCTCTTGCTCAGACATCTCAGATCAGCAATTCCTGCTCTGAGACATCCTTTATTCACTGCCTGGCAGAAGTGACTTGTTCTCTGTCACTTTCTAACCAGTCCTATTAAAAACACGAATTTCTCTGCAGTGTCCCAGGGAATGGGAGTGGCAATGCCTGCAGGCACATACCCAATGGATCCCTTGGTGCTGTTTGCCTGCAGGTGTGGCAGAGCAGAGCCCTCGGAGCTGTTGGCCCTCACACAGGACACGATGATGCAATCCTTCTCCCGGCCCTGGAACGCATCCACCGTGTCCACCTCTCCTGGGCTGGGGACAAACACAGTCAGCAGCTTGCTCATCCTCACTTGGGGTTTTCAGCAACACAGTAATTCAAACAGCCTTCATGCTTATGTGTGAAATCACCCAGGGTAAGTTTGCCATTCAGTACATGAGCCTAAAGCTGCATTCATTTTTCTGAGATCAGCATCATTACTGAAAATCTGTTTGGGTCCACACAGCACGGAATTTTAAGTTCTTTTATTCAGAACTATAATCAAAGCATGTAGGTAATAACTAAGAATGGCACACAGAGATCACACCAGTTTTAAGCAAAAGGGTTACACATCCCCTTTAAAGGCACAACCAAGCACAAATTTTAGCAGTACAGAAAGAAGTTGGAGACTTTTACCATTATTTAAGAGGATAAACAAAGGATTGATATGCAAGAGCCAAGGCCTGTTTGAAAGCTCGTGGTTTCTTTACCTGTTATTCTTAAACACACTGTCCAGCTGTTCCTGGATTTTCTTTTTCTGTGCACTGTAAGGGGTAATTATTCCAATGCGACGAAGGCCCAGATCCTTCCTCTTTTCCTTAATTGTTCTAATTAACTCCATCACCAGCTTCACTTCCCGAGGATTGCTGTAAGAGCTGCACAGGACAAAAGGAAACATTACAGGAACACCTCTGAGAGATCTTTCTAATTCAATGCTTTGGGGAATTTTGGTTTTTGAACTTTTACAGCTTTTTTCACACAGAAGATCAAAGAACTTGGCAAGCAGACCCTGAGGAGGGTGTGCTAAGCCTGGGAAGTGCAGGCAGTGAAAAGCTGCACTTCCACATTCCCTCAGCACCTCCAGCTGTGCTCTCCTTACACAACTGGCAAGGGGAGGGCTGAGCCTGCCACCTCCTGGCATCTCCTCAGTGTGCACCTGGCAAAGGGAAGTCACTGATAAAATCAGGATTCAAACTCTTACTGAAGTTGACAGACACTGCAGGCATTTCCTGGCATCTAACAGTGAATCAAACCAGGATTAAAACCAGTTTCAGATTTAAGAAAATCTCTGTTTTTTGTGAAATTAAATCTTATCAGTTGGAAAATGCAGTTCTAGCTACTTGATGCATATTGGAACAACAAAGGAGAGAACACAGCTCTTCTGTAGACAATTAATTCTCAGAAAATCTAAACTGTGGCTGAATTAGAATTTTACTTACTCATTGTCTCGCTCCTCACGACCATCAGCTACATCAAAAATCAGGTAGGGCTGGAATGGCCATTCTGAAGAACATCTGTTCTCCTCTATTGCCCTGGAAATAATATTTTTATCACAAGGCAACCATACAACTAAGAAATTCTAAGAACTTATACTCCATTTATTTACATCATGGTTATCAAACACAAGCAGCTCTCCAAGAAGAGAGGAGCTGGCCCTGAAGTATCCCCAAAGGAAGTTCAGATTGGATATAAGGAAATCTTCTTCACAGAAAGGACTGTAAAGCGTTGGAACAGACTGTCCAGGAAGTGAGAATCACTATTCCTGCAAGTGTTCAAAAATCACATGGATTTGGCAGTGAGGACATGATTTAATGCTGGAAATTGCTGACTCATGAGCCCGATGGCACTGAAAGTCTTTTCCAACTTCAACCATTTTATGATTGTAACTTTCAGTTCTTCTCCTACCCAGAATCCTTAACTTTTCCTGCCACCCAAATAGAATGAGGCCTAAAATAAACTCTCAGCACTCTGTATGCACAATTTTAAGGGATCTTACCTCACCTATCACACCCATGATGGACCCAGAGATGGACTGCACACTTCACCATCTTTCCCCATCCCATAACCTCAAGCATTTTTAGACTCACAAGAACACCGTGACATGAACAAATTGCTTTGAAATACCCTCAGCTCAGGAAGGAGAACAGAGAAACAGAGAACAGAAACAACTCACTTGGCAGTTTTTAGAGTCCTGCCATAGACATAGTTGGATGGGAAGAGGCAGATGTCTGGGTGCATCCTGTACTGCACTGTCAGCTGCACCACGGGCAGGCTGTGCAGCACGTTCCTCTGCACTTGCTCCTCCAGGTGCTTCTGCAGTCGGGCCATCAGAGACTGGTCATAGCCATACTGCTGAGCTTTCTGCCACAGGGAGAACAGGAAATTTCATTTGGCATCTCATTCCCCACCAGTCCAAGTGTTTTGGTGAATTTGAAAGTCAGTTTGGTGTTTTAAACTTCTAAATCGCTGACAAAATGACAACTGCTCGTGCTTCAGTTTTGTATGTGTGTTGTCTTATTTCACCTACACAAATCTGAATTTTTGTGTCTAGTCTTTAACAAAACAGCTTCTCGTGACTCACAACACAGTAGAATGTTAAGAATATCAGCCATAATGAAAAGCAAGACTTTCCAGGTGAGATCTTGTTAAGTAAACACACAGAATCTAAAGAAGCCACCCTGGTTTTCTTCCTTTCTTTACCAGGTGTTTAATAAAGCCCTCACTGCTGGAGACAAGATGTGCTCCTATATATTTCTCCTTAAACACCTGTAGGGTCAGGAAATCTCCAAATAAATAAGAAATCTTCATCCTCCTTAAGGAACAGGGTAGTGACTGAAGCTCCCAAAATGACAAAACAGATCCTGCCACAACACAACATCCCTCACAAACCAAGTGCCCAACTTAAAGTTTGTATTGCCCCATTGAAATCTTTTCCCCTCTTTTTAAATATTTCCTGTAGATACTGTTCTTTAACCATATCCATTCTATGGCAAGAAAAAAGCAAAGAGCTTGAACACTTACTACTGATTTGACAGTAGGAGGGAGCTGTTTGGGATCTCCAACCAGGATGAGTTTATTACAGCGATGGATCAGTGGGATCAGGGTTTCCACCTCACAGGACTGCCCTGCCTTTGGGATGTGCAAACAGGACAAAAGGAGAAGTTGTAAGCAAAGCAGGGAAGTACATTAAATTTCTTGTAACACAGCCAGAATAACTCAAATGCTTTAAGTCTTCTAAAAAAAATTTAAAAAGAGGAAAAAGGATTTTTCTCTAGTAAAAAAATTGCATATATAATAGTAAAATAAATATTTATAAAGAGATAAATAGATATATCCAAACAGATAAAAATACAACCAAACCATCTGGAAATCTCTAAAGCAAAAAACCATGGCTGAAGTGTGGCTCTATATTGTCCGGTTTATCTCGGCTGTTTGAGGGGCCTGGAAAGGCCCGGGGTGGCCTTGGGGCAGCCGCGTATCGAAGGACGAGAAGAGGCTTCAGTTCTTCTTTCGGTTTTTATGTTTATTAATTGTTTATCTAAAAGATGTTCTTTCAGCCGGACAGAGATCTGCTCAGCAGCCAGCCATGGGCACACTGTGCCGTCCCCCGGACCGCCACGTATCTTTATACCCCTAGTTACGTATACAATATTTATCATTTTTCCCCAATACCAACTATTGTTATAACTCGGTGTACTCTTAGTAATAACCAATCCAAAGGTGCCACCGTGGCCAAAGAAGATGGAGGAGAGGAGGAAGAAGAAGGAGGGCAGGACACACCCCAATTCCTCCATCTTACTCCTCTAAACCCCCCTGTACATAAATCCTAAACCCTGTGTCTCACCCTCTAATTAGCTAATCTTTCCACCCTTCACCCCGGTGAGGCCCTCTTATCTTCATAAAGGTGTCGTCTCCCGTGTAGGGTCAAAGTCCAGCCACCAGACACTTCTGGCAACATTCCAGGACTCCCGGGCCCCCCAAGGGTGGTCTCGGGGGCCCGGCATCCCAGGACTCAGATCTTGAGATCCCACACTATATAAAAGCTGTCTGCCGTTACAGCACCAAACAAGTCAGGAAAAAAAAAAAAAAATCAATTAAAAGTTATTCTTTCTCCTCATGGTTCTCAGCAAAGACCTCAAGGTGGATTGGCAGGGGCTGCAGCTGCCACCCTGCACTGACCTCATCCACGATGACACAGCTGAAGGGGTCCAGGCCCTGGCGGGAGAAGGCCGATTCCAGCAGGCTCCCGCCGCTGGTGCTCAGCGTGCAGCAGATGATGTCAGACTCCAGGATGATGTCTGCCTGCACCTTCTGCGAGTGCACACGAGCCTTCAAAGCACAACAGGACACCCTGGTGAAAATTCAGCCTCAACTGCAACAGTCAATGCTCCTGGTTGGGTTTTTTCCCAGTATGCAGCCAGAGCACACCCAGATTTTACAGCTTACTCAGCTCATGGCCTTGATTCATTTACCCACTACTTTATAAATGCTCCCAGCTACACCAAAACCAAATTTCACCACAATTAAAGGACACAAGGTACAAAAATACATCAGCTGAATTTATTAAAGATAAATTCTCCTACCTCCTTTAGCTGAGAAGCGAGTTGTTGTCTCTCCTTTGCAAGTTTCCCAATTTCATCATTTAACATTTGACTCTAGATGGGGGAAAAATTAAACAGGAACCACCTTTAGCACCACCCATTTCCCATAAACCTTTTCCCCCCTTATTAATAATACCCTAATTAATTTCCTAAACGTGCAGACTTCCTCAGACAGTCTTTTAGTATCAAATGTGTCTCAAGAAGCCAATCAGTTTCTTGGAAAGCTGTCCCTATATTTAGCATTGCAACACACAGTATCAAGTCTTACATATTTGTGCATGGTTTATCACCAGTAATCTCTAATTTGGCATAAATGCCAAATTCTTAGACAAAAAAAATGGAAAACTTCAAGTGCAACACATACTCCAAAATCTCAGATCATGAGGTATTTTCAGTGAAACAAAAACAAAGCTTTGAATATATAATCAATTTAAACCTTTAAGATTTGTAAATATGGTTACATTAAAATCTAACTAGTGACAGAACCAAGTGGAAGCTACTGAATGATAGAGCAACAAGTGGCATGATCAACCAGTGGGAAATACTGGCATAAATAAAGAAAAATTCCCTCTCATGGTGCTACCAACTTTTCCATTAGTTGAAAAAGCAGATGAAGAGATAATGACACCAAAAACCAGAGTTATTTTTGTGTTATGAACACAAAATCAAAAAGAGGATTAAAACTTGTCTTGCTACCTCTCTCTTCTCACATCTGTGCATGGCACGCTCTCGAGAGAGCAGGTCCAGCTTCTGGTCCAGAGCTTCTTTCTTCTTCTGAATGTCCTGGTCACAGTCACCTGGCTTTCTTTCTGTAACAAACCAAAGGAGAAAAGAAAAGCTGTTACAGTAACTACAAATTGGGCAAATGCATTTTTTGCTGTGTTTTCCCATTTTCTATTCAAGTTTTATCTTGTACAATGATGACAATGGGAATTGCTTCCAACTGTAGTTCTCAAATGCTGCATTGCTTCTAAAATTATGGTTTTAACATGTGTGCAATGTAGTTTATTAAACAAAAGGGTCACTTTGCTTATTTTTTCCCTTTTCCTTAGATCCTGGCTCATACATAAACTGCCACTTTTCCACTAGGACCGACAAAAACCAATGTTTTATGAAATACTATTTTAGAAAAATCTTCCTTATCACAATACACATAATCTCATGTGGAAAACATCACCCAGCTCTTAGAGGAGAATGAAGAAAAGTCTGATTTCCATGTTACTCACTCATTCTGTGCTCAACTTGCTTATCCAGGCTGAATCCCCTCACTTCATTGTTGATTGATTTTTCAGGACCAAGTCGCACTAATTTGATATCACCACAATTTCCTGTTTACAAAATCAGAGTCAAAATGCTCTTAAATTACTCCAACTGTCTCTATGCTTTGCTATGACAATTAAAAAAATATAAAACATCATGGATATCAAACAAGGCTTTTCTAATTACCTGGAGTTTTCAACACTTGACTTGTATTTAAATGCAGCTACAAAAAAATTCAGTAATTCTAAACCCTATTAAAGATGTTGCCCACACTTTAGTTGTGGCTAACATTAAGAATGTTATTTTGAATTAATGAAAGTTTCTCTTATTCTCAGGTTTATCTAAAACTTCCAGAATTCCTAACTTGGACACTGCTGAGTCCCATCAAGTAATGCAATTGGTAAGTCAATATCAAAATAACATTTGGTTACAATGCAGATGTTTTTCCCCTTGCCAGAAACTAGATGTCTTTAACAGAATTCATCTACTTTGTCTTAGTCACAAACTGGGAGGAGGAAAAATGAGAAGATTAGACAGATCAAAATTTTCACCAGTCTGTTTCCCACGACCCAAAAAGTCCAATTTTATTCAAAATAAACACAAGGGACTTGTGTTCAATCCCCAAAGAGTACTTAAAAAGTGATGAATTTAAACTAACAGCATGAGGAAAGGGTCCATGTCTATACAAAACAAAGTGTAACTTATTAAAAAACCCTCACAATCCACCTTTCAGAAAAGCACATTAAAGTTAACAGTGCAAGTACAGTGCATGATCAACTGCTTCAGTTCCTCCTCCAGGTTTTGCCCATTTAACATGAAAACAATTTAAAACCAAACCATACCCAAAGGCTCCTGTTTGTTTTGGCATTTTTCCTTAAATGAAATGATGATTTTTTTCATGAGCTCATCAACAGCAGCATTTGATGGTGCACACACTAGAAAACGGTTTGGCTTAATCTTGGAATTCTTTTTCCGAGCTGTTTTCTCATTCCTAGTGTTCTGTAGAATAATGAACAACAAACAAGCTCTTTAGATTGCTTTCACTTGAGATTGAGCAGCCAGACTGGACATTCATCTGAACCAAACCCCAGCACATGACTGTGGTCACTCACTTCTCTCAAAACACGGGACAGGAGTCCCACAATAGTTTTTGATTTCCCTGTCCCAGGAGGTCCATGGATAAGGCAGATCTTGGGCAGTCCTGGGTGCTGCTTTACCATGGCATAAGCTGTCTCAATGGCTCTCTTCTGATCTTCATTGTATTCATTCATATATGAAACCTGAAGGAATAGAGCAAAAAAATAATGAATTCATGTTGATCACACCTTCCACATCAATTTTCTATTCTTTCAGAATGTCCTCACCTCTCTAGCCAGAGCTCAAAAGCTGGAAGGGCAGGGAAACTTTTGATTCTAGGTTTGCTCTAGACACACACCCAACCCTCACTTGAAGTAGGTTTTGTTCACTCCCCACACCTTTATTTCACAATACCTTTTCCATCCTGTTTCATTTCCTGAAAATTCCCCGGTAAGGGAAAAGAAAACTGAAAGCAGCTGGAAGCTCACTGGAACAACAGGGCACAAACACCTGAGCAAGTTCAGACTCATCTCCTCCAGCCCAGCAGCCAGCTCTGAGGAGAGCAGTGTCTCAGTGCTTTTGAAACATGGCTATTTTCTCTTACTCATCTCAAAAACCAAACCTGCAGAAGTCATGAGGCCCAAAAGCTTTTTCTGTTAACCCTGGCACTCCCAGCTGCACAACTTACAGCACTTCCTGAGGCAACAGGCAGATCTCTGGGACAGAAGTCATTGTAACTTGGATTTATGATGGGTCTAACCAGGGGGCTCCTGCTCAGCAGCAGGAGACCTTTGAATGTTCTGTGTGTGGTCACCAAGGAGCCAACCACCACACACTTCACTTGCTTATGGATGAAAAATGACAAATTGCCTTGGGTTTGCACAGTAAGATGACAGGCAGTCTGCTGCTCTTTTTGTCCTGTTAATGAAGAATAAAAAAACAAGTTGTTAATTCAAAAACTATCCAAATCATTAACTGAAAAATATTCCAGTAAGTTAGTTAATTCACCAGAACAAGGTGCTGTCCTCTGCTAGGGAATCAACAATGAATTCTTGCAAAATCCCAATGCTTCCCCATCCCACCAAAATAAAAAAAAGACCAAACAAAAAACTCTGTACAACCACTCAGATCCCTGCTTTAATAAGGCAGGTTCTGGGTACTTGGAAATCCTGGTAACTCACAGTTTCAATTCCCAAAGACACTGCCAATTTTAGACTGAGAGATCACAGAAGTTCATGGCACTTCCTATCTCCTGGCAACACCATCCTAAAGATGCATGCAGAGCATTTACTCATCAGTAGTTTCTGTTTCTACATGAAGTTCTAGAAAAATGATGGACAGCAAGGCTGCAGCATCAGTTCCTGATTTTTACAAAGATTCTAGCATAGACCAGACCTGCTACAGAGGAAAAATAATTCCATTTCCTCTGAGGCCAGTGGTACATTAAAATTACCAACAGCTGTCGGATGCTGTCGGATCTCAGGATCTCAGTCCTGAGGTGCCGGGCCACCGAGACCACCCTTGGGGGGCTCGGGAGTCCTGGAATGTTGCCAGAAGTGTCTGGTGGCTGCACTTTGACCCTACACAGGAGGAGGATAGGAGGACTTCACCGGGGTGAATGGTGAAGGGATTAGTTAATTAGAGGGTGAGACACAGGGTTTAGGATTTATGTACAGGGGGGTTTAGAGAAGTAAGATGGAGGAATTGGGGTGTGTCCTGTCCTTCTTCTTCTTCTTCTCCTCCATCTTCTTTGGCCATGGTGGCACCTTTGGATTGGTTATTACTGAGAGTGCACCGAGTAATAAGAATAATTGGTATTGGGGAAAAATGATAAATATTGTACACGTAACCATGGGTATAAAGATAGGTGGCTGCCCCGGAGGGCAGCACAGTGTGCTCATGGCTGACTGCTGAGCAGAGCTCTGTTCGGCTGAAAGAAAATCTTTTAGATAAACAATTAATAAACATAAAAACCGAAAGAAGAACTGAAGCCTCTTCTCGTCCTTCGATATGCGGCTGCCCCAAGGCCACCCCGGGCCTTTCCAGGCCCCTCAAACAGCCGAGATAACCCGACAAACAGCCAGCTATCAAGAAGCATTTTATGGCACCAAGGACCCCCATTTTTATTTCTAGCCCTGCTACTCACCATTTGCACAGCCAGATGCACGAGCAAAACGTGTCACAAAGCCAACATGATTCACTGTGTGGTACTCCAGCCCACTTTCTTCCCCAAAAGTGTCCTTCTGCTTGTGCACCTTCAAAAGGATTAAGTCATCCTCCTTTGGATGGAGCTGCCTTGCCAAATCACTCTCTCGTAGATGAGCTGTCCAAAAGACAAATGAAAATCACAAAGTTGAAAAGAAAATGGTTACGTTTTCTACATGACTGCAGAAGTACTGTTAACTTTTTAAAGCTGTTAAAGGCTATAGGAAAAGATTATTGTGGAAATTTTAACTCCATCCTGCACTCTGAAGCCTGAGCACAGCACTGTATAAAAACAGAGCAAGTCAAGGACAACTTTATCAAAACAAGCTGAAAAAAAATCCTGGATGAGAGAGATGGAAGGCACAAACTGCCTGTAAAATACATGGTTCTCTTACATTCATGCTAAAGAATAGCAAAGGTGAAATCCTTTCTATATTTAAAGCAAACACAAAAAACTCTGCCTCAAACTGCCAGCTCATTATAATGCATCATCTACTTGAAAATCAGATTTAAAAAAAAACCCTCACCTGTAAAATGTGCTGTATTCATGTCAGCAGAAAAGTTCTCTAAGTAGAAGTAATAACCTTTCTCTCTTACTTTCTGGTTTTCTACCCATTCTTGTGCCAGCTACATGTTGAAAAGGAAACAACAATACTTTGAAGGGTTTAGTGTATCAGAAGAAAAGCTTACCATGACTCAAAGGGCAAATAAATGAAATAAAACTATAAGACTGTCAATTAAATATATCAAGAGTCTTACTCATTTCTTTTCTTTCACATAAGCATACCCATTACATATAAATACACAGGGCAAACAAAAGTTCTTCCTTGCCACTCATCCATTTCATGTACTTCCTTAAACTCCTTCACAATTACTCTGAGTCTTCCCTGACTGCATTTTCACCTTAAAATATCAGTATTAAACTGGCATTGGCTTTATTTTCTACCTTATTTCTACAGAAGAAGTGATGCAATGACTGAACTTGAAAGCATTCAGACATTAATTGAAGAAACACTGTTTTGTTGCTATTAAGCTATAAACCAATAAAGACTATTAAGCTATAAATCAATAAAAAAATACTTCCTGGACTAACCTTCCCTCTCATCTAAGTTCTCAACAGAAACCAAAACCAGATTTTCATCCTCTGCCATTGAAACACCTCAGTTTCTTAAAGACTTCTGTTTTGAGTTTTATACACTATAGAGAGAGGAACCACATTCTTTGCCACTCCTTTTATTGTGGATGTGCACCAGGAAAAAAGAAACACTTCACTGATTTGAGTAACTCTGGTCATCCCCAATCTTAAACATAGCTTTTTGGATTATCTACCCCAAATTGTTCCTCTATTCTGCTCTCTAGCTGAATGTTTTCAAAGGTAAATAGAGGACATAAACCAGGTTTTAATCTCTTGGTAAAATTTATCAGTGTTGATGAAACCAAACCAAAAAGCAGAAAGCTACTTACTGTTTCAAAGGCATTGAGCATCATCAAGGGAAAAAATGTGTCAAAATACTCATTGTAGCCCTGAAAATGGGGAGGAACAGCAGCTACTATGGTCTGCAGAAGATGATTTGGAGTTCCAAAGTAGCTGAAGTTTTCAAACATTTCATAAGTCCACTTTAGGACTTGGTTAACAAAAATGCTGTAATCGCGCTGCTGGCCAAGAAAAGAGGAGGAGGTTTCTCGGCCAGGCCCTCTGGAAATATTTGAAGCATTGTCATAGCGTTTATTTTGTGACTGGAGAACATTGCTGGAGCTAAGGGGTTTGAAAGTTGGAGATTTGCAGGTTGGATTTCCTGCTGGTGCAGGTTTGGGATACATTGGTGGCCTGAGCACCGGCGGTTTGGCCGCGCTCACTTTGCTTTTTGAAGGTGGGGGAAACTTTGTGCCATCTTCCAGATCTTTGCTGAAGGCTGCGTTCCGTGAAGAACTTGCTGAGCTGAAAATTTTGGCAGTGGAAGGTTTTTTTGTTTTAGGTGGTGGGAGAGAAGGCTTGGCAAACACGTGGTCTGCCCCTGGGCTGGTGGCTGGGTGTTTACTGCAGTACTCTCCAGGTTTCTCCACCTGTTCCATACACTCTTTATCCTTACACTTCACAGCAGCTGAGACTTCATTCTGCTGAAGGCTTTCATCAACACCCATTTCCTCTGGGCTCTTACTACCCATGGCAGCATCTTGAACACTTTCCTCCTGAGAACATAACTCCATATCCACAGGATCTAACTGAGTTAAAAACAGATTATCATCACCTTCATCACTGCTTTCATCTGATTTACACCCATTTTGCTTTGATGTTTTCATCTCACACTCAGGCAGGACAGTGCAACCTTTTCCTGAAGGCTCATCTTTATCACCTTCAAGTGCAGTGGAAGAGAGACTTGAATCCATAGGGACAGGAGGAACCACAACACTGCTACCCTCCCATTTGCTGTTCCAGTCTGAAGAACGAGGCATTTTAGAGGAATTTGCCACCTCCTCCACACAGAGGCTCTCAAATTTTCTCTCACTGGCAGAAGAACAAGCAGCCTCCTCTTTTTTTTTCTCCCTTTGGTGTTCAAATTCTTTAATAGCTCCCAGTTCAAAACTTTGAGCCTTTTGTACCACAGGTTTCGCACACGTTTTGGTAACTTTGTTTCTACTCTCCCAACTTCCCACAGATTTTTTCACGCTTCTCCTGGACTTTAGATACTGGCGGTCTTGGCAGGCCAGCAGTTTTTTATTCCCTTTCACAGACAAACGCTGAGCCTCGATCTGCTTGGTTCTCTTTTTCTGCGTGACTCCAATCCTGCCCGCAGCTTTGCCGTGGCTGCGCAGCAGGGCCAGGCTCTCCAGGGAGGGCTGTGACAAATCGAACGCCTTGCGGGGCCCCTTCTTCAGGCCAAGCTTTTCTGCAGTTGATGCTGGAGCAGGGCTCTGCCGGACCTTCCTCGGAGGAACCACAGCAGGCATCGACCTGCCAGCCTGACAACGTTCTGTTGTGCTTTGCAGTGGGGGTTTATTTTTGGCTGCTTTAACAACGGGAGGTTTTTTAGGACTTCTCTGAACAGCTGGTGCTGATTTACATTTTGCTGTGGGCTTCTGTGGGCTTGTGCTCTTTTTCTTAAGGGCCAGCTTTGAAGCTAATGAGATGGGAGATGTAGATGTTGTGGGTTCAGGCCCTTTTGAGTCCAGGGTGAAGCCTTTAGCAGTATCTTTGTCTGCACATTTCTCCAGTTGAGCTTTTGCCTCTTCCTTGCCAACTGATTCTTCCAAGATTGAGTTAATCGCTTCTTTGGTATCACCAGCTCCTTTCTGATAAGAAGCATCTTCTGTCTGCTTTTCTATTGAGCTTGCTGCCTCTTCCATGGCCTCATCACTAAAGTAAGGCAGATCATAGCCCCAGTCATTTAAGTTATCATTCTGGCAGTCATGTGAATTACCTGTCTCAGGTGCTGGTGAAACACCGTCTTGTTTGTACTCCTGAGTTGCCTCCACAGCATATGCTTGAGTGTCTTGCCAAGCTGAAAAAACCTCATCTTCTGTTTCAAATTCAAAATACTGAGACTCACAGTCATCCAGTAACAGGGGAGAGCCTGGAGACTTTGATTCTCTTTTAGTGTCACTATCAGAAGTGCTGCTGGAAGTTGAAGATGGCTCTGCACACACATTTTCGTTCTTGGTTTTTGATTCCTCCTTCTCAGCCACACTTTTTTCTTCATCAGAAGAGTCTGAAATTACAATGACTTGATTGCTAGGGTGATCACCACCACTGGGACACTTGGTACTTTGGCCCTCATTGGAAGATCTTACAGAACCTTTCACTTTCCTTTTAATATCAGACACATTTTGGTACACTGAGCTTTCCTGGTTGGATGCAACGGGAAAATTAAGACTTTTGGCATAAGCAGCTAAAGATAATTTACTGAGTTCTCTATCAACCTGGGAGTCTGATGAATCATCATCTTCAGAAACCGTCTTCACAAAATTCTCCTCTTTCTTCCCCACTGAACTGGTTTCCCTCCTGAAATATTCTGAAAACTCAAACAACCTGTCACTTGATTCTTGCTTCACCGACAGTGGCCTGATCACATCCCTCTTGTTTTCAGAGCTAAATGGAAAATAACCACATGCTGAAGTTTTATCCCTACAAGAGGTCTCCGAAAATTGATTTTTGCAGTCATATTTATCCAAATCATTTAAATTAGGCTGCTCCTGGTTTGAAGTTTGCACATTAGTGCTCCTCTTAAAGAAAGACAGCAACGATGGACCTGATTTTTCTTCTGTTGATACTTTTTTCAGTGAGGTGTCATTATGCCCTAAAAGCAAACTACTGTCATCTTCCTTCCCTGGCACACCAGCTTCATTTCTAGAGGAGTTAGAGGAATCCAGTGATGGTTCCTTGGACACCTGTTTAGTGGGGACCAGTCTGGACTGGAACCCACTGTTTGCACCTGTCTCTTGCATACTTTTGCAACTCCTTGAAGATGGAGAGTCAAGATGAGTCTGAGCAGACAGATATGGTGTTTTGGATTCTGCTCTGTGTTTCACTTCTAACTCTCTGCCTCTCCTGAAATCTGAATGCTCAGTATTTGAACTGAAGCACTGATCGTCCGTATTGCACTTCCCTGCCACAAGGTCAGAGCTCCTATTTTCCTGAACTTTCCCACATACTTTTGTTGCCAAAGAGTTCTGGGGGAAGACAAACTCCTGATCTGTCAAGTCATTAGGCTCTTTTTTAATATTCATCAAGAGGCCTCCTGTGGATGTGCAAGATGTTGAGCTTCTACATGCATCTCTACATTCCTCCTCCCAGGCATTCTTTCTCCTATGCAAAGGGTTCTCTTGACAATCTCTGCCTTCCTTTGACATGACAAACGGTGAACAAAGGTCTCTCCTCTCATGTCCACTCATCTTGTATCCATCATCACACACATTCCTCTCCTGCTTTGTAGAGACACTCGGCAAAGCTGTTGAGCTTGACTTGCTCCCTCCAGCCAAAGAGCTGCTCAGTGCTTTGCCCTTTATACTTCTTATCACTTGCTTTAAGCACATTTGCAGCTCCTGGGTTTCCTGGCTGCTCAGCTGCCAGCCCACAGCTCGATTTCCCCGCAGGAGGAGGTTCAGTTTGTCCAGGTAGTGCTTGCAGAGGGCGTGCTGGCCGAGCTGGTAGCCCTCCTTGAGCAGGCTGCGGATGAGCTGCACGCAGGCGTGCTGCACCGAGCTGGGCGCCTGCAAGGAGCCCGCGGCCGAGCCCTTGGCAAACAGCCCCGGGGCCTTCTCGCTGCAGCGAGTGAAGGCTCTGCTGGGCAGCGTGGCACACCTCACCACCGCCTCCACCCACTCCTGGGAGCTGATCCACAGCAAGTGCAGGCACTTCTTGCTCCTGTGCAGCTCAACAATGGACACCAAGATGAGGAGGAAGAACTCGGAGATTTTGTCGCACTCCTGGAATCGTTCGATGAGGATGTCTTTGATTTCGGAGCAGAGGTAGTGGATGACCTCTACTATATAGGCTACGCCCAAGTCCTTGAGATCCATGAGGGACTGAACAAAAGGGATGAACCAGAGGAATGTGCTGTGATGGACACGTATGTCTCTGCCTATGTCAGACTGAAGCATGTTAGCCAGGGTCTGCATATCTTCATACATGTAGGGGCAGTACTCGGGGCAAATGGCAGCCTTCCAGCCAGTGTCCTGAAAAATACATCCACCACACAACAGCCTCAGTGATAAGCACAGTTTAATATGGCAGCTTTCTTGTAGCCAAGCTTTTTTGTTACTTCCTTTCATATATTTGTTCACTAAACAGTAACAGTTCTTATATCGCAATGCAAGTCATTAAAAAAATGCAAAAAATAAAGATCACAAAGATCTAATTTCCTAAAACATTACCTATGAAATTGGTGTGAAGTAGTAGTTCCTTTAAAAACCATTGTGAACTATTTAAAGACACTGTCATGATGACACAATTTACCCTCAGATAACCAAAAACACATGGAAAGCCTTTAAAAGACACTTCATAAATGCAATACACTGACATCAAGAGATGACCACACTTAGAAATGTTTACTCTTGACAACATCATTAAGTGACCCCAGTTCAAGGAAAAGGAATATAAAATACTGGTTTAATACCTTTTGAGGCTTTTCTGTGTTATAATTATATACAATCTGACTGCAGGACATCATGTCATCACCATAGTCTGATTGTGGTTCAGCTTTTGTCCTGAAAAAAAACCACATTACTAGAGACTCACACTATTAAAACCCTGAGAAACTCAGGACAGATGTTGCTTTTCAGATACCAAGTGCAGAGTTTGTTTTACCCAGGTTGTAAGAGCTGGGAGAAGTGACTGTCTCAGGAAAAAGCTTTCCATTGAGTCACGGATCTGTCTATGTAGAACAAATGCCCAGAATGCCATCTACTGAAAATTCAGGAATTCTCACAAATTTAACAAACCTTGAACATGACAATTTTCATTAACCCTCAGTGCAAGTTTGTAGCAGCACTAAATAAGTACAGAACAGTTAACAGTCTTCCCAATTCAGGAAAAAAAAAATCCTAACAATTTTAACAGACACACTCGAGTTACCAAAGAGAAGTGAGTATTTATTATTTTGAAGGAGCATCACAATTTTAGGGGACCTACTTCAACTTTTCTTGCTTGAAATTGGAAGGATGCTATTTCTTTAATTGCCATCTCCCTCCCCCAACACCAATTACAGCAGCACAGACAAGAACTGACCTCATAAAACTACTGCGAATATTTTTGATTTCGTTGTTGTAGCTGACACTGTTGATTATGGTTTGAAAGGCTTGGACAGGATCAATCAGCTGACCCCAAACTTTAGACCCCAGCTGATCCAAAATAACCATGAAACAGTGTAGGGCAGGCCAGAAGGGGTCAGTGGAATCATCTGAAACACAACAGGAACAGTGGAGAGGGTTTAAAAGCAAGTCCTGGACATTCTTAGGCTAAACAGAAATTGAAAGAGCTGGTTCTCATTGATTTTTCTAAAATATCAATAGAAAAGTATTCTAGGAAGTTGCAACTGTACTTTTTACTGGAAAAACAATTGAAAAGTCAAGCTCTCTCATTTGTACAGAGAGAGAGGAGCAATTTGTATTGCTCCTTATGCAGTCTTAAATCAACAGGAGCCTGGATGCCCATTATTAATATTAAATAATACTGATATTTCCCCACTCTATTGAAACTGATTCTTTCACGCTGGTTTTTGCAGAAGTGTGCTAAGAAGTGGCACAACTCATGTAAGAAAATATCATATCCTCAAGAAACATCATTTTTATAAAAAGCTGCTCATTTAAGAGGCAATCCTGGTCTTGAGGTCACAAGGCTATTCCCAGACTAAGCCAGATTTAGCAAAAGCACCACCATCCCCTCTCCACTCCAGATTAGGATGTCATCTTTCAGTATTTGTCAGTATTTCCCAAATATTGGACCTTTCAAAAGATAAACAGGCCTCAGGTAAAATTACCTCTCATTACACTACTAACAACTTAACAAGGAACTTGCTAAAGATGAAAAATGAGCTATGAACTGTCTTAATCTAAGTATCAAAACGAGTTACCAGCTGCTTCTTTCTCCATAGTGTGAAGTATAGACTGCATGAAATCATTTTGTTTGTCTGGGCCCAGTAACAAAGAGTCCATAGCTTGTTCTTCCAGCACTGACAGCAACATGCAAATTCCTAGAGAAGAAAAAACAGAAGCAACCTGTCTATATATTTGAAAAAAATATGAATTTGTACTGACAAATTTTCAAGCTCTGACTTGAAAGAGCTGCTTACAAATGGGAGACTACACAAACTCATTTCTGATCATAAACACTCACCCAGCCAATAGTTCTTGTAGTTGGCTGTGTCATACAAATGAGCTGGCAGAAGGATGAGTTTACCCTTTTCAAACATTGAAGAGCTGTAAATATCTGGGTTCTCAAAAAGCCCCAACTCAATAACTTTGAACAAACAAGTCAGCACTTCCTCTAAGTCATAGTAATCATCCCTGTCAACCTTTCCCAAATTCCTTGCTGTTAGGATGGCCCATCGACGAATCTAAGGATTGAAACAAATAGTTTTATATTAATAAAAAGAACAAATTCTGTAAGAGGAAGCACTGCTGTTACAAATGGGACAAAGGCATAGAATAATTAAAAATAAGTATTCAAAATAATCTTAGAAACAGGCTTGCTATATCTACAAGATGTTGGTGACAAGGAAGCTAAAATTCAGGGTAATACCTATGAAGAAAATTCCTTGGGATTTATGTGCAACAGTTGGTTTGTACTAATTTTATGTTATTTATATGTAACTAACCAAGATATTCTACTGTAACAGAGGTCAGGTTTTATTTACAGATAAATGCACCACACATTTTCTAAAATCGTGCAAGACAGTATTCCATCCCTTCAGTATTAACATGTGCACATAACCAGGATTTAGCAGAACAGAAAAAGGAACTCACCACCTCATTTGGGTGGACCAAAAAGAGATAAATTCCTGGATATTTCTCAAAGACCTGAAAGGAGTCTTGACTTAGTTCCATTCTGCAGAGCACTTCTACACACAGCTCACCTAAAAGAGTAAGATAGTTATAGTAAGCACTAATTTACAGTCTCACAAAAAAAAAAAGCGTATTTAGTATCAAAATAAATTATACATCATTTCTCTGGTTTAAGCATATTCATTTTCACCTCCTGCAGTGGAACACCACCACTCCCTTGCACAGGGATATGATCAGATACATACTGACTTTCTCATGCAGCAGCAGGTAGGGGTATTTCAGTATTTCCAGCAGGGGCACTCGCAGGTTGTTCTCAAAATTTGGGCCCACATAACCAGACAGAGGTGTCTCCCCATGCTCATCAACCAGAAACAGCTCATCTTCTCCTGCTTCCTCATTCATGGATTTCTCCATGTGGGCAATGAGACGGGAGGTTTCCAAATCCCACAGGTCCTGTTCAGTGGGGCAAAACAACAGAGGAAGAAAATCAAAGTGTACTCGTGAAAAAAGTGATTAAAGGACATTTATTACCACATGCAGATAATTAATTACATGTTCAAAAATTGAAATCTCATTTTGAAAAGTTTCTCTCTATGCATGGTCCAAACCAGTAAAGTTTTGAAATGGAATTCAACTAGGCAAAGCACAAACCTTCAAACCAGATGCAATGTTAAATATTCATATTCATTTCAATACTCATTTTAGGCACAAAACTTTGTTCCACTGCCAATACACATGAAGACACAACACAGGAAAAGATAATCTTTAAGAAGATAGGACAAGTACTAATAAAATTTTGCCTTCTTACACATTTTGCAATTTGTGGAAGGAAAAGAATAAATAATTATATAAATAATACAATGAGACTGACTGATTTGCTGGATATTTATAGGGATTCACCCACTTAACTTACTCATCTTAAGCAACTGCTCCAAACCTCAATTAGACACCAAGTTTATTCACTGCAGTAAATGGACACAAAAAGGAACTTGCAGTGGTGCAGACACTTCTCTAATTCCCAGTCTATGGAACTTCAGGCACATGGAATTGCACTCCAGAGCAATCTGGCTGACCAATCTAAAGAGCAACCTTTTAGACTATGATAATTAGCTAAAAACACACACTTTACATACACAGAAGGGAAATAGGCTAATAATATAATAAATGTTATAAAATCTTTCCTAAAATATAAAGTTGTATATTGCTAAGGGAGGACTACAAAAGAGGTTTAAATTTTTTTGATTAATTTCAGTCTTGCAAGGTCTGATCTCTGAAATTCACACATAAGAGAAAACTACTAAGTGAAATGAACAGAAGTGAAAGAGAAGTGAAAGCAAACAAAAACAGGAAGAAACCAACAAGCGAAGAGAAACCAGCAGAAAAGAGAAAACACATTAAAGAAATGAGCTGTTAGTCTGGCAGATGTTCTTTGTTTCAGATGACAAACCATCTACAGCATGAAAGAAGTCCAAGCTATGGTGTCTAGTCAGCAACTTAAAACTACTGGTTTAGCTCTTGCTAATTTGAATATATGCAAAAGAGGATCCCAGTTTTACAATCAGCAGTTTGCAAAACTCCATATGAAAAAAATGAGACAGTTAAAAAGCAACACAAAAACCCAGCAACACAACCAACTCCCAAAACCCAGTAACACACAACTCCTCCCCTTACACTGAGGCTTCTTAATTAATCTCTTAATTAATTACCTCATGCAATCTTGGACATTCTTCCCTTGCTTTGTGGTATTCAACCACACACTCCAGGCAGTAACAGAGGTCATCATTGGAGCCTTCAAAATCTTCCTGGGACAGCCTCTGAGCAGCATAGTGCCTCAGGAACTCGGTGGTGTCAGCACCACTCTGTGTGCACCATCGGCATGTGCTCATTCTGGGGGGGCAAAAAAAGGGCAGCAATTAAAGCCCAAAGCCTTCAAGTGGCAGCCAGGACAATTTTAAAGCATGGGGAGCAGTCAGGATTTCAGTTACTCGTTAGCAGTTTCCATGCAGGTGTTCTTACAACATCCAGGTGCATGCAATGAAAGCCATTAGAGCAATTAAAGGGACATCGCACCAGAAATGCCTGTGGAAGGAACAGCACACGGTAAAAGTAAAGCACTGTAGTCAAATGTGCAAACCAGGAAAAAAAAAAGGTGAAAACTCATTTTATATTAAAAAAAAAAAAAAACTCCTTACCTGCACATTGCATGATAACCAGAACTACAATGCAAAGCTCTCTATATGATTTTACTGGTGTGACTGGAATCTAGGTCTAGAGTTTAACTAGCTTCTTTCCTTAATCTCCTGCTAAAATTTATAGGTCAACAAATCCCTGTTGTCACAAGCAAAGGGTATTTAAGCAGAACTTTCCTGTCTTTGTTATTTTTATAGACAGAGTGCTAAAATTCTCACCACAGATTGCTTTCCTCTAAAAACAAAAATCCTTCACTAAGCAGCAATGGAGTCACCTCAGATCCTGCTAGCCTGAAGAATTCCACAGAGCACTGGAACCACAGAATGGTTTGGGTTGGAAAGGACCTTAAGGATCATTTCATTCCACTCCCTGCCATGGGCAGGGACACTTTCCACTGTCCCAGGCTGCTCCAAGCACCATCCAAACTTTGGGCACTTCCAGGGATCCAGGGGCAACCACAGCTTCTCTGGGCACGCTGTGCCAAGGGCTCAGCACCCTCACAGGGAAAAACTTTCTCCTAATACTCAATCTAACCCTGCCCTCTGTCAGTTTGAATCACTCCCCCTTGTCCTACCACTACAGCTCCTGATGAAGAGTCCTTCCCAGTTTCCTTTTAAGCCCCTTCAGATAATGGAAGGCTGCAAAAGCATGAACTCTTTGAACTATACAAAAAGAAAGGTGGTAACTACTTCTTCTATTCAGCATAAAAAAAGCAGATAAAGCCAAGCCATAAGTTTCCTCATACATACACATACAGTGGGAAAACCCAACAATTGTGGCATTTACCTTTGAAAAAGGCAGCTATTTGCTGTGCAGGTGTGCCAGCTCACATGGTGGGAAGGAGAACAGCGCTGCCCTGCAGCCAGGCAAGGGGCTGAGCCCTTCAGCCATACATGTCCTGAGTGCAGAGGGCAGAGCCGTATCCTCAGCAATCCACCCCCTGGTGACCAAGTCCCGGTGGTGTTTCAAAGATCTAGAGCAAAACAGAAATCAAACCACTGAATCACAGCATCAGTCTGGCTGGAAAAGGCCTCTGAGATCACCGAATCCAACCTGTGACCAAACACCACCTTGTGTCACCCAGAGCAGGGCACTGAGTGCCACATCCAGCTGAACCTCCAGGGATGGGGACCCCACGACCGCCCTGGGCAGCCCATTCCAATACTCAAATATTTAAGAACTCTTTCAGTGAAGGAATTCCTCCTGATGCCCAGCCTGGCACTGCTTGAGGCTCTGTCCACTCCTACTGAGAGAAGAGGCCAACCCTCACCTAATATAACCTTTTTCCAGGTGGTAATGACTCCACAACCAAAGGTTGTAAAGTAGGTAAATATTTTATTCAGCGCTAGACACAGGAGGAGAACATCTTCCCAAATCCTGCGTGCCCCAACATTACAAATCCTCTATTTACTCACCAAAAAAATCATGCATATTCTACAACGCCTATACATATTCAGTAGCTCTCCCCGCCCATTTTCCACATGGTATGGAAATTAGCAGCGAGTGCACAGTTTATCCTTTTTATTGAGTCGGTGGTCTTTAAATGAGTCTGGGGGCCTGACAAGATGAAGGCTCAAAGTCTTCATAGTTGTTAAACTTTCGAATTCAGGTGTTTCAGCATCGAATTTTCTGGCAAGCTCAGCAGTTTTTATCAGGGGCTTCTCTTATTTGCAAGCTCAGCAGAATTTTATAGGTACCAGGTATCCTTCGGAGGGTCCCCTATCTCTGTCCCGTACGAGCAGAGTAACGAATACCATATGTTCACACACATATTGCCTAAACTATCCTAAATTCCTTATTAACCCTTAAATCCCTTGTTTCAATAGATCAGTAGAAATCAGTTCAGTTCACACTCAAGAACTGCTGTGGTATTTAGGTCAACACTTGCATTGATGCATTTCACGAAGCGGTAAGTACGAGTTGCAAGAGAATCCCTTCTGCCATTCAAATGCGGATGTTTGCCTGGCTTTTCACTCGTAAAAAGCGTCAATATTTACCTATGCCCGTTAAGCGA